CTTCATTGCTCAAATTGGCAGACACAAAAGCAAACAAACCTGGGATGAACCTTCTGCACTTTGTTGCGCAGGTATGGAAGTGGTTGATATGGAGCAAGGACGCGATGGATCCCCATGCTGGCTGCGATGTTTTCCCCAGGTCTAAGGTGGCATCAGATTCAGGAAAGGGCATGGTGGGTCCCAAGAAGATTCTCTGTGCAGAAGCACTGTCTGCAAGTGCGTGAAGTGAGCTGTGCCCACAGTCCTCGGACTGGAGGGGAGAGTAGGGGTTTGAGGAGTGGGGCGAAGGGTGGATGAAGGCAGATAATGAAGGATTGGATCTTAAAGCTGAGGAATGTGGATTCCTTGCTTTAGCAGTGGGGAGCAGATTGAGGTGCGTGTGCAGCGTGGCCTTTTGTTTTGTTTTAGGGAAATTGTGGCGAATGGGTTGGAATGGAGAGAGAGCTAGAACGAGGGGTACCTCTTGGTAGCACTTGGCACTAATGATTGTTTGGAAGAATTGAGAGTCAGAGTGATGGCCACGGGGATGGGTGTGGAAACATTGCTGATGTTGAGTGAACTAGATTTTTGACCAGTTATGTGTAAACTGTGAGAGAGTCAGAGCAATTACAAAGATCACTTCCATCCTTTTCCTTTGTGAAGCATGGGCTAGCATGCCTTGCCGTGAGCCCAGGGATTAGACTCAGAACCCTGCCCATCACTTCCATTTAAAAAAATATTGGCTTAGAGAGAGGAAGGGAGAAAGAAGGAGAAACACTGGATGTCAGGGAGAAACATGGATCGGTTGCCTCCTGCACACACCCTGACCGGAGATTGAACCTGCAACCTGGGTATGTGCCCTGAGGGGAATCGAACCCCCAGGTGCAGGGGAGGACGCTCCAACCAACTGAGCCATCACTTCCATTTTTGACTGGTCTCTGTGATGCCAAAGGAGCTAGTTCCAAAGTGAAAAATCAGCCCAGCACAATTATCTCTTTGTTGTTAAATTATCTCAAGTAACGAATTGTTCCGGTTTGTCTTGGTTTGTCTTTCCTTCTTGCAAGGCCTTGTTGTTTTGACAGCAAATACAGCGACGTAGCTTTAGCCTGGGGAGGAAGCCCTGGCATGTGATTATTTCAAGTGTGAGCTTCAGACAGGGCAGAACTGAGAGAGTTGGCAGAACTGAGAGAAGTTGAATTGTCATTTATGACTTGTAATCCCTCAGACAAGTTATTTATAAAAATATATTTTTTTATTGATTTCAGAGAGGAAGGGAGAGAGAGAGAGAGAGAGAGAGAGAGAGAGAGAGAGAGAGACAGACAAAGAGAGGGGAAGATTGAGAGAGAAACATCAATGTTGAGAGAGAAACACACTACACTGGGGATTGAGCCTGCAACGCAGACATGTGACCAGGAATCAAACCTTGACCTCCTGATTCACAGATGGATGCCCAGCCACTTAGAACCACTTAGTTATTTAAACCTGAGACCCTGGATCTCTTCATCCAATGACAGGCATAGAGATACCTCAAAACCAGGTAACCGAGAGGCTCACAGAGGTAATTCCGTATAGTAAGCTCGCAATTATGACTATAGTCTTGCAGCTGGAGGCCATGTTGACCTTAGGACTAATATAAAAGCTAATTCGAAGGACATTAAAACCAGAAAATGGGTTCCTCCTCCCACATGTCTTGCTGGGAGGGACTCTCTGGCAGCCCTTTTAGATCCGTGTATCCAGGTGTGTCCTGTGTCCCTGCCCATGTGGGGAAGTTTCCCAAGTTGTTAATTGGTGCCTTTATACCTGCCTTCCTCGTACTCTGTGAACAGATGAAGAATCCAGAGTCTCCATGGCTTGGGCACCTTCTGATTAAACTCAGGTTGCAAACTGGTTTAACCGCTGAAGGTATCTCGGTCATCCAAAGGCACACTCATCGGTATGGGTGGTATTTAAGTGGGACATATTGGATTCTCTGGGAGACAATGGGCCCTGCTAAGCTGCCACCTCCTTCCCCTGAGTTTTCAGGCACATTAGCTATGGTTCATGCCAGCATCAGTTGCTCTGGGAGGTTACATGTACAGTGAGAGTCCTGGCATTCTGTAGATCTTACTAAGAACATTGGAGCTCCTGCCTCAGTGAAGGGCTTTGAATGCATCAAGGGTAAAAATGAAAACAGTGATTTTAAGGTTCCTTAAAGCCTGAGCAAATTATTTCCTTCCAGTGCCATCTATATAGTGAGAAAAAAATTCTGGTTTTGTTTCAGGAAGCCCAAAAGAACGATGCCATTCTTCTAAACTTTTCTGAAAAGTTACATCATGTTCAGGAGGCTGCTAGGTAAGCAAGAAAGACTGAAAGAGAATTGTGAAGATTTAAGGGTTTGTGTTTTTTCAACTATGAAAAAACACACACAGCCCTTCTTATGAAAACTGATGACTGTTTTATAACTTCTCGATTCAGGTGTGAACTTTTAAAAGTTTTGTCTTGTTGAACTTTCAGACCTTCTTTTCATTTGCTTACAGAGGTGTGTGCGTGTGTACACCTTTGGAATTTGGGGGTTTTGAAAAATTAATCCTTAGTTTTTTAATCTAAAAAAGACCTGTTGCCATCTATTCTAATGAATAATATCATCAGTGTAAAAAAAACAGGGATTAAGAACTTCAATTCCCTCCACACCCAAAAGATAGAGCTCAAACAACACAGCCTATTACCCTGGGAGCTGGTATATTGTCAGTCACACTGGCAGGGCCATCCATCAGTTTCCCCTGTAGGATCTAACATGGTACACTTATTTTCTATTACATTAGAAGTTGGAACCATACCAAGGGCTGTGAAAGGATTTTGTCTTAAATTAGTCAGTCGGCTTTACAGAGAAAGTATCTACCATGGAGCTCCATTTCTAACACTTTAACTTGTTTCTGGTCCTAATAGAGCTGTGTGTTTTAATGTAGCTCTAATCTGTGTCTACACGCTAGCTCGAGTTCTATGTTTTCAAATTTATAATACACATCCCTGCATCACAGCAGTAAGTGTTCAAAAACTAGCTTTTCAGGGGAGGAAAAGGGTCTGATTTGTACTATTTTTTGATTTCCATGGTGTAAGCACTACTATCATAGCTGATTCCCAAGCTACCAATGTCGTTACTAAAGCACAGTTGGGAAGAGATGCTTGTTCCCATGTCACCCCTTGTGATCTGGCTTTAGCCCACCTCTTCATCTGCCTCGTCCAGGGTTTATTTGCAATAGTCTTTATTGCATCTACTCATTATCCGAGTGACTATATCCAGTTAGGATGCAAACCACATGCATAAGCACATGAACCATAGCTCTGCAGGCCAAGCCCTGTCGTTGGCCAGTGTCTCTGTGATGACTGTGAACACCTAACCACAGATGACATCTTTCCCAAAGTGGGATGGTCAGTCAGTCCAAAGGTGTGAGCAGTTCGTAGTTCATGTTTACAGATAGACAGATTATTCCCCCAAAAGAATGAGCATCTTTCTTATAAGATATAAACTGTTTTCGTTTTGAATTACTAAAAGGAATTGGGAATATTTATTCCTACATCTAGTATAGCAGTGTTACTAAGAGAGGGAAATAGAGAAATAACCATTACTTTTTTTAAAATCTTCACCCAAGGATATGTTGTTGTTTTTTAATTGATTTTTGAGAGAGGAAGGGATTGGGCGAGAGAAACACCGATCGGTTGCCTCCCATATGTGCCCTGACTGGGGATTGAACCTACAACCTAGGGATGTTCCCTGACCAGGAATTGAACCCACAGCCTTTTGGTGTGTGGGATGATATGCCAACCAATTGAGCTACCCAGCAAGGGCAACCAGTACAGTTTTAAACTGATATTTCTGGTCAGAGTTATATGGGGAAGTTTAGCTAGATATTGTCTTAGGAAAAACCTATTCAGTGAGGTCTGTTTATTTGAAGTGGAAGATGAAGTACAAACAGATCAGAGATGGGTATCAATGACCATTAAAGGCAAAGGACTTTATTGCGGGGGGGAAAAAAAGTTAGAACTGACAATAGCAGCATGAAAATATCCAAATATATGGATTTGCTAATTGAACTACCCCAGGATTTTAAGGGTCACCTGTGTTCACTTTACTGGGTGACAAAAACATCATTTATGCTCGACCAACCTGGATTTGATATAAATAGCAAAAGCATTTGAATGATGGTTAGTTTTCAGCAAAACAGAGCGCTTTCTCTGGCTGTCAATGGCCAGCCACGTGATGTCCGCTCAGTATCTCCATATTTCCCTTCATGTCAGGGTTATCAGCACACGCTTCCCTGCTTTTTATGAGTTAGAACTTCTGTATTTGTGTTCAGTGGCCAGAGGAAAGTGCATCTGAGTCCTGCTAGCTTTTAGTTTTTCAATGCTTATTGCCTAAAGGTGTTCAGATAAGTCCCATGGTTTTGATTAGCTCACCGGCAAGAACACAGTTGTGTACATTACAGTCTGTTCTCTTTGAACCAGTGTGTGTCTTTAGAAAAGAATCTCCTCTCTAAAAACAACATAAGCAACAACATAAGCAAACTGACAGCTGTCAGAAGGCAGGGGAGTGGGGGGCCTGGATGAAAGGTGAAGGGGTTAGCCAAAGAACATATACGCACACCCCATAGACACAGACAACAGTGTGATGATGGCCAGAGGGGGGGACTGGGTGGAGGTAGGCAAACCAGGGGGCAGAGGGAGGGGGAGATGGGGACATCTCTAAGAGTGTCAACAATAAAAATTAAGTAATGAATCAGTAAAAAAAACATTGGAAGAAAGTCTAAATACAGGAATAGGTTAATGCAGTGGTCGGCAAACTCATTAGTCAACAGAGCCAAATATCAACAGTACAACGATTGAAATTTCTTTTGAGAGCCAAAAACCGACTTCTGCGCATGGGCCACGAAGTTTCAATCGCACTGTACATGCATGCCCGCACGAGGTATTTTGTGGAAGAGCCACACTCAAGGGACCAAAGAGCTGCAGTTTGCTGACCACTGGTTTAATGTATTCGCAATGGCTCCCTCCCCTTCAATTTGGTTTGTGTGTTTTTTACAACTTTCTTTAATGTCTTCACTTAGTAGAACATAGTTGGGCCCTTATAACTGTTTCTGCATTCAAATGGATATGTGATCATCAGTTTGTGTGTGTTTTCTTCTTTACCTTCCGTGTTTTGTATTAGTTTCTGGTGTGTCTGCCCTTCGGCTTTTAAGATTGACCAGCCGTTAGACTGGTTTGATGTGCCCACGTGGCACATGATTCCCCGTTGCCAACTGCCCGCTGTCCCCCTTCTTCTTCCAGATTGTCTCTGGATAACACGGAGGCAGAACTGCACTCGCTGTCCGTCAGGACGCGGGCGCTGAAGGAAAACATCCGGCGGGATGATGAGCTCCGTCAGCAGATGGAAGAGTTCCTTCAGGTCTGTGAGTGAAGCAAGTCAGTGCCTCTAGTTTCATCGTCCAGCAGCTCCCTGAGGCGGGTTGCATGTGCCTGGGTGTGTTCAGGGGAGCAGCAGGTTCCCATTCATATTCTTCCTGCCCCCTCCCCCCGCAACCCCCCTGCCACACATACACACACCCCAGTCAGTAAAGGGAGCATCTTAGTTTAGTGCCCATTCTTGGCTGGATTGTTTTTGAGCAGAACATACTGAATGCGGCCTAAACTTCCTCAGGTAATTGTTAGGGATCACTGCTCGATGTGAGATGATATCCAGTTAGGGTGTTTACTTACCCTGGCAACTCAAGTTGTGGTTCCAAAATCCTGGTTTCGGGGTTCTCGACTCCCAATGAAACCGGTGAGCAACAGAACCAAGGTTCCACAGAAATCGTAAAGATCCCTGAGAACCTGGACTGTTGTTTCTTCGCTTGTGTTTGCTAAAGACCCAGGCTGCGTTTTGGCATGTTTTATGATGAGAACACGGTCGCCGTGCCTATCACCACCCGAAATTCATCAGCCCAGCAGGGTGTGTCAGGAGCTGCCCAGAATAACAACAAGAAAACAGCAGAGTGGACCTGTTTGTGACAGCTCACTGTGACTCACTAATCACACAGTCTGACATACTTCTTTTATCCTCCTCATTAAAAGGGAAGAGTGGCACCTTTTCACGCTCTCAATCTTCAGGGAAGTGGTGTGCTGCCTTAAATGTCAGTGCTTTGAGATCTGTGGGGTGGAATCCAGGTGCCAGGGCTGCCCTTGGCACTGGGAAGGAACACCGTGCTCCAGAGGCTTGTTCCAAAAGAAGCCTGCGCCCGCGTACTCGTAATTAAGCTGCAACTATGGTGCGCCTCAGCTTCTTCCATCTGCAAACAGTTCATTTTGTTGGGCTTGGTTGGGATTTTATTCTTTATTATTAAACATGGGTTCTATGTTTCCTTTGAAATACAACTAGGCTCTGATTTTCCCCTTGAAAGTACACAGATTTTCCTCAAAGCATAAGAACACAGCAAACACCAGCACAGAGACACCTACCAGTGGGTAGGAAAACACTCAGCAGTGAGCACATTCAGACAACTGAAGCCGATCCAGAGGTCAGGGAGAAGGCCCATGATGCAGGAGAATTCCGGTTGCCTCACTCCTCAGTTCTTAGAGTAAACATGAGTGTCGGATGCCAGGTAGCCGACAGAAAGGTCTTCCATGAGAAGCAGCTCTCTCTTAACTGCACCTGTCTTAAGGCAAACTGGTTTTAACTCTAAACGCTTCTTCCTGGTAGTCATTTTTAGCTCTGTAGAATAAAATGTTCCACCCAGCTATTTATTTTTATTTAATTCAATTTCTTTAAATAGGGGGATACAATTTTTTGAGGATAGGTGAGGGTCAGGCCAGCAAGGCCTTGGAATGCCAGTCTGAAAACCTTGGCCTTTTGTGCTCTAAGCCGTGGGGAGTCACTGGAGATTTTGGAGCAAAAAAAAAAATGACAGGACCATCTCTTTAGGACTCTTGACCTTTCGGGTGTGAAACACCAAGTGAACTGGTTTGGAACTCGGATCCGTAGCAGACAAGTTAGAGATGGAAAGTTGGATTTGCTACACTGCTCACCTGTTGTCATTCACGCTTTGCCACTGTAGCTTTGGACTCTTTTTGTTCCTGGCCCCGATCCTGTGGGCAGGGTTCAGGAAATAATGACTCTGAGCGTGGTGACTCGTCAGACCCATATTTGGACTATTTCACTTTCCCAGGTCCTGAGGGTGACTGCTGTACACTGACGTCACTCCTTCCCCATGTCCTCTCAGTCCCCTCAGACTCCAAGGATGAGGCCTAGGAGGTGGAGTACATGCCTGTGTAGATTCTTGTCAAGAGTCCTGTTTTGCTGCATTTGAGCTGTTCTTGGCTGGAATCCATCTTGCCTTCAGTGGAAGAATGACAGGCAGGGATAGGTCCTTTCGTTAATACCCTTCTCTCCATAGAGAAAAATAACCCCATGCATGCACACCCTGCCTTGGGCTATTGGCTCAGATGGTTACTTTTCTTTGGTATTTGGTCTCCTAAATAGTTTTGAGTAAATGGCATCCTCTTGAGTGTGTTTGGTGTAGGAAGAGGGCTTTCAAGGGGAGAGTGTGTGGGAGTGAGTGGGAGGGGATGCGTCTTCTCAGAACTTGTCTCAAGGTTCTGTAGCTCCAAGCAGGTCCACGCAGCGCTCCGACTCCTCAAGGGAGGGCAGCCTGTGTCTTCGCCATTTCCCAGGCCTGCCCCCCCCCCCCCCCCCCCCCGCAAAGAAGTCTCCAAAGATGTCTTCATGGAAACATGATACGTGTGATTTCATAAAGTAATAACTCTGTGCGTCCCTTCTTCATATAAGCCTTGTAACCCAATGGAAAAGAAAGCAGCATGAGACTTATGGGTGGTACTCAGTGCCCAGGGGGCTGGCTCCTCGGACCACGCTGCTTCCTTATTTCAGCTCAACCTTTGCCTGTCCCTGAGCTGCATCAGGGAGTGCGGTTGTGCCCCTTGGCCCCAGAGGGTCCCTCCCTGAAAGGTTTGGTTGGAGTTCATTGGAGGAAAGCAAGCTTCTTTCACTCCCAACTTCTTGGTTGAGGCAGTAACCCGGACCTGTAGGGGCCCTGGAGATTTTGTCCTAGAAGAATTTGGAGACCGTGAAGAAGTAAAGAGGATGGATGTGTGCAGGCAGAAATTCCTAACTGTGGCTACCTATCCCAATTTCCTGGGGGAAGTTTTCATAAGATACGCAGGCTGGGTCCACCCCACAGCTACACAGAGGCATGGACTGTAGACCCAGCACACCAGCTGATGTAGATGAGCAACCCTGGCTAGGAAGCCCTTGCTGGAACCTTGGTCCAGGCACGAGGTTCTTCAGTCCTGAGGGGTGACCCTGACCCTGACGTGGCTCATTTGGAATTAAGTTGAAACTTTCTACCAACAGGACAACTCATCAATAGAACAGTGACTTTTAGGACCCTAAAGTGAACTTGGCCAGTATAACACCCAGTTTTAAGAGGAGGAAGAACATACAGAACATAGATATTATATTTATGTGAATATTAATAAAATTGAGTGTACAACTATGTCACTTTTTCACTGGCATTAAAGGTGAACGTTTCCTTGGTGGCATTCTACAGGTGAAGGCCCTTCTGTCTCTTCCGTTGCTCTCCCAGACCTCCCCCAGGAGCTTACCTTGCTTCCCCAAAGGTTTTGTTTGGGTTGAATTGTTGTCCTTTTGGCTCTGAGCACATTGGACTCCCAATAAGCCTTCCCTTTTCGGAGACCTGACACTGAACCCAGGAGCACCCCTCCCCTGGGCACCGGCCTGCCCGCCGGCTGCTTGCCTCAGCGTTTGCCTGTCTGTCTGCCCGCAGTTTGCTGTAGAAAAGCTGAGCGAACTAGAACACTGGAAACGGGAGCTGCAGGACGAGGCCCACACCCTCATAGATTTTTTCTGCGAAGATAAAGAAACAATGAAGCTGGACGAATGCCTTCAGATCTTTCGAGACTTTTGCACCAAATTCAGCAAAGCGGTTAAGGTACGGCAGATGGCATCTCTGTATTTTCTGAGTGGTTCAGACTTTTATTTTTCTCCTTCCAGAGCCAGCCAGCCCCTCTGCTCACGGCAGGGAGACGGTTGAGCATTTCTAGGGGTTGAGGAAGGTCAGGCGCAGGCAGTGTCGCCAGGCTCTCGGTCAGGATAAGTGGGAAGTGGTTCTGCCACCCCAGGCCTGAACGCTTCCGTACCATTGGGTGTCCAGCATGTGGGGACAGCGGTGGTGAGTGGTAGACGCCAGCATCTGCTACTCTGAGGCACAGACCATGACCCACTTTAATGCCCTAAAAGCCATGGCAGCCAGGCTGCCCTTGGCCAGAGCCGACGTGGGAACGCTCAGACATCTAGGGAGCATGCTCTGCTGCCTGAGACCACCTTGCCCTGTGGCCATCAATTCCAATTATCTCCGAACTCATTGCAGAAGCCAGAAAACTCTCTGGGTTGCCTGGCTTTGCAAATAAATCTTTCATTTCAGTGAAAAACAAGGCACATCTCCTCCCTTCCTTTCTGGTGGTGATGAGAAGCCTAATACGTGTATACCATCTCTTCTCTGTATTTCAAAAGCAGATTTGCCCGTAGCTGAGTTTCTTTGAGGGACTGGTCCCATTTCTCTCCAGCCATAAGAGTTTCTTGATTTCTCGGTTCCTTCTGCCTCTGTCCAACTAAATGAAGGAGGGTCAGCCTCTGGCCACGTTTACTTTCCTTTGTCCAAGCAGTGAGCTCAGCAGAGGAAGCGGTGGTTAATGATAGGTGCCAAATGGGCTCTTGCTGAGGCCCTCACTCCCAGTTGGAATCCTATAGAACACCACCTGTGTGATGCTCTCAGTCCAGCCACCCCTGAGAGCCAAGAGCTGGCCCCTCCCCCGGCCCCGGCAGCCAGCCGGAGCCAGAGCCGCACAGAAACTTGGACAGGAACGTCCACAATTTGCGGAAATGGACTTTCAAGTAAAATGTGCTCCGATAACAGATTTGGGTGGTGATTTAAACATATTTCCATGACAGGAGTACATTCAAAGTGCACAGCCAGCCAGTGAAGTGTGCTCGGTTGTGTGCAGCTGTTCTGGTTCCAGAGGACTGCCACTCAGAGCAGGGTGGAAGGTGGCGGATTTGTAAAGCAAATCCTTCTCTCTGGTGGTGGGAAGGGCATGGGGCATAAGGGACCGAGCCACCCTGGCATTTCTGGTGTGTGTGTGTTTGTTTTTGTGTGGGTTTTTGTTTTTGTTTTTTTGTCCTATCAAGGAGCAGTCCGATGACAGAGATTTGAAAAGCCACTCTTAATACCTTGGGTGTCCATCATTTATTTATCCATACCCCACTGGGTAGCATGTGCTGCACAGGAGTGTGTGTGTGTGTGTGCATGTGCATGTGCGCACCCATGCAAGGACCAAATTGGGTTTCCTTGGAGTTTAGGTCACAGGTGTAAGTGGAGTCATAGCCCACATTGCGGGGACAGTGCCTTGACCTGAAAGCTGGAAATTGGGCCCAGGGATCCTTAGACGGACTTTTGGGGCCAGAAGTAGTGTCTTCTTTGGTCACCCCCACATAGCTTTGAAGAACCTAGTCCCCACACACAAGGGCAAATGCACAGTCTTCCCCCGATCCCCAGGGCCCAGTCTCTCCTCCACCATGTGTATCTCACTGGGGTCTCAGGGTAGGTGGCCCTGGAATGGCACGGGTCCCACGTGTCTGATGCATTTTTGGGCTTCTCTCCACCCCTCGTTCAGGACAACCACAACCGGGAGCTACAGGAGCTGAGGCAGCTGCGGCGGCTGCAGGAGCTGGAGCAAAAGCGGCGTTCCTGGGCCACCGGGGAGCTGGTGGGATTCGGCCGGAGCAGCAGTGAGAACGACGTGCAGCAGTTGGGCAGGAAGGGTGCGGAGGACCTGCCCCCCTTCCTGCACCGCAGGCCCATCAGCCCCTCCTGCCGACGCCCCAGCACCCGCCGCTCCCGC